TTGTCACTTGAAAGTCTGGATGGTGTCTGGTTCTCCTGAAAACCAATGTAAAATTACCCTGGCCCACAAGGGTATATAATATAACTATATATATATATATATATATATATATATATATATATATATATATATATATATATATATATATATATATATATATATATATATATATATAACTTTAAGTTAACATTTTATATGAGTCTTATCAACCTTAACAATTTTATCCCATTTTGTTGAACAATCCTAAATTCACATGCTCTAAACGATGCATTTTACCCTTAACCTGATCATTTATCGAATTGTTAATTTGAATATATAATTATAGATCATGATAAGAATTTCTCGAACACTATATTCTTCATTTAAATATTAGTCATTTAATTAGTTTTTTCTCCTTCTATATTGTATGATTAATTAATCAAAATCAATTTTGATAATGATAGAAATTCATTAGATTTATCTTAACAAACTCTTTAAATTATTACTAAATAATCATGATTTTCCATATTGTCATTTGTTTCCTTATTTATCATATTTTTTCATTTGTAAAACACTATGATTAATGTTTCTTTTTTTTTATTAAAATCAATAAAGTTTTTTTAAAAAATTTTTTCTCGAAAATGATCTGATTCAATTTTTATCAAAAACCAATTATATTTAATTTATCTTTTGTTGTTGTTTAAATCAATTCAATGAATAAGTCATAGTAACATTTGATTAATTTTTTTTTCTATATAAAACTATCGTGACTATTCAAGTTGAAAACCAAAAAAATAGTAAATAAATAAACTTTACTTTCTTCCATAGCTCAACAAAATAAATAAAACATTTAATATATATTTATTGAGTTATTAGTAATAATGAATTTTAAATTATATTCTATGATGATGTATATTATTTAACACAGTGAATGCGCACTGCTGAGGAGTCCCACACTAGGACGAAACTGCCGTCTAGTGCTTCCAGGTTTTCTATGATGGTCTAACTTCAATTGACTCATGATTTCAACTATTGAAAAAAACATTTATCTTCATAACATACACACTTCCACAGATACAGATAATTTTAGTACATTTAGTGATCGGATTTTTATGCGAGGTTCTATTTTACGAGTGAGCTTTTCAGCCCCATCCCCAACCCTTCTATATTGCTCGGGTTCAGTACTGGCGGTGTTCCTAAAAGGGCTCCAGAAGGTGTTAATACTTAATCAAGTATAGTAAAATATACTTACATCCTATTTAAGAACGAAAATAATATACTTAACGGAATAAATCAGTGTCGTTGATTTGATATACTTTTTTTAAACCTAATCATTTTCAATTTTATTATTGATTTAAAAAAGCGTAATACAAACCCATTAAATCAGTAGAAATGTTACTTCTCTGGTAATTTTATTCATCATGTCTTGAATGGTATCGGATGATATTTGCACCATATTTAAGAAATGAATTAATTTTAAAATAGAGACCTCTGGATTTCAAGTCATTTTGCCAATCATTTTACGTGACAAAAAATAAAATCCATATATTTTAGCTGTGATGTGGGAGATTTATAAGCGCATTAATCAATAGTCTTAAACTATAATAAAACAACTTTTAAATAGTACTTGGTTTATAGTGATTTTCTAGATAATAACAGTGCATGATCGTAAAAGCAATACCATGTGTGTTAGATTTCCCTAAATACAAAATTTGTAATTGCTACAGAACTTGAGTCAATAATCAAACGTACCATCTAAACTTGTGTTAATTTTATTTCGGTTATTTACTAACTCTGAAGAAGCGACTTACGTTATGTCACGAAACTTCGTTAATACAGCTTTCTATTCATTAAGATATCACAAAAATATATTTAATATTAAATGAGAAATATTTATGATAAATGATGATTACTTTGACAGAATGAAATGTAGTCAAATGACTTGGAAATTTAAAAAACGCGGTTTAAAGTAAGAGGTTGAGTGTGAATGTAATAGACAAGGTGATTTGCAACATTTCGAATTTAACTTACGTTAGACTGAAACGTCAGCGGTTTTGTTTATGTATACATGTTTTCTTTATAGGATGGCATGGGCTTCAGTTTTTGAAGAGAACGAAAATAAACAATAACTTTTGAAAGTTTTTTTCATCACATATACAACTCAAAAATAATAACCAGTATTGATAAGCATTTTTGTTAGCTTGTTTCTTACACTTTAACCGCTAATATTTTCTGAAGCACTTCTAAGAAGTTTAGAATTGTGGATCTTTGACGGTGGAAAATTATTGTAATAAAATCTCATAATTTAACGATCTTTTTAAATTCTATATCTAAAATAGTGCTTTTTGAGTTTAAAATAAGTATATGTTGATATGTAACATCAGAATTAGATATGCCTTAAGCAAAAACCATTTCTTTTAAATATTCATTCTGGGTAAATGAAAATAAATCTCAAAACTGCCCTCCGAAATACAAGTTTCAAACTAATTGACATATATATTCATGAAGCGTGTTCACAAACATCAGGGTATTGAGTTTTGTTATGGGATTTCAATCTATATCACTGCCGGAAGCTGAGAGGTTCACATACTAGTCGGTCAATTTGTATTAAGCACGATGAAATGATCTTCATTTAATCACTTCTAGATTTTTATCATGACATTTTGAGCTATACACATTAAATAGAAGTCTATCTAAAATGTTATTGAAACGAATGAGTACTAGAATTATTAAATATTTTTTGATTAATATAGATCAAATTAATCAATGATACACTTATTATGGTACTTTAATGTGTTTATAAAAGATTTTTGTCAGAATGAGGGTTTGTGGAAATTTTAGTAATTTAATGGTTGAATTCATGAGTCGATTAAAGCTAGACCACCATGGAAAACCTGGAAGCACTGGAAAACCGTTTCGTCCGAGTATGGGACTTTTCAGCAGTGCGCATCCACGACCCTGCACGCGAGAGTCGACCCCAGGACCTCCGGTCTCGCGCGCGAACGCTTAACCTCTAGATTTGTATTATTCTTGACAAATAAGAAGGAAATTTAAAACTTTTTGTCGAATTACGATAATTCAGAAGAAAAATAAATCATTTAGAAAATTATTAATGCTTTATGATTCATTCAAACAAAATGTTTATCTTCAATCATGTATGTATAGTTATGTTCCCATTATGATTTCACAGAACATAAAACTATACTATATATTTTTATTAAACCTAATTAAAGATAAGTGTTATGTGAATTTGTTGAATTTAATTTGACAGCAGTAAACTATTAACTTTGAGGTATTATAAAATATATATTACACTAAATACCAGAGAAATTTATCAAAACCATTAAGATAGTAAGTACTTCGTCTACCAGGTTTGTTAGTTATCGCATTCCATAAAGCAAATAACAATAATACCTTTAAGCTACTTCTATTCATGTAAAGCTATCTATGTTTTCTCCCATTCTAATGACTTAAATATATATATTAGTGATATAATTAATTATATAGGACAATCCAAGAAATTCAAATACCAGTGAGATATAAATGTGTTTTGCCAGCGGGATTTCAAATTGGTACTAGACAGTTGATTTTATTTCAAAACTTTATGGTACTACTTGTCTATGTTTTCATATTTTATAGAATCTATTCAGGTAGTATGAAATGTTTGAAACTTCCAGCTTAAATTGGTTTCTGTTGTAAGGTGATTTTTTTCATTGTCACCTGGTAGATTCTCTCTCTCATTTAATACTTGTTAGACTTCACAGATCAAGTCTTACCTTTAGAACTTTAGAAAATCTGTCTACAAACTGATAATAGGTGACATCATTACAACTGAGAAATCTACATAACTTAAGGCAATTTAAAAACGGTTCAAAGTTTAATGAACTCAGGAGATCTGATTAGTTTTAGTTTTCTACTTATGGGTAATCATCTAAAACCACACTATAGTATTATTCAGTAGTGAATATTCAGTCACAAAGGTGGCCAATAAGCCACAAATTAAGTTGATATTTAAGACAAGCTATCTTACTATTTCATTAAATGGAACATATTATTTAGTATACTCTAAGCGATTTTTTTAAATTATCGGTGAGACTATAATTTATGGACGAGCTTTCAGTGACGCTAAAGAGACCTTGAGAATATCCACCTACACACTACGGCTAAATGAGAGTTATAAGCCAGCTTGAGTATTTAGGATTAATATTTACAGTTGATGGTTAGGGTTAGGAGTCAGATATACTATTTTCATCACGAAATAATATCAGTCATAATGCCAAAACTTTATTTAGCAAAATCGATGAGTAAATTTCGCGCCAAAATTTAAAACCTGTTATCGTAAATCTGATTGGTTCGTCCATAAATCATAGTCTAGCCAAATTATCTAACAATCTAATATAACAGTGTACTTGTAAATTTTTACGACACAGATATACGTTTTATTAAGTTAAACATACAAATGTTTTGCCTAAAGTAGTCAGGTTAGTTCGTGAAATGAACTATCAAATCTAACCATCTTCAAAAACATTAATACTAATATTAATGTCATCATTAAATTCTAATGAGAAGCCTCGACTAATGGAGTTTAATCATGTCTAGTGTTAGTCAGTTAAACGACAATGTTGTTGGATGATTGTTGCACAATATCGTAAACTGACTGAAGTGAAACATGTAAACCATAGGATATCGACTCAGTGATATGAAGTTTAAACTCATACCATGATACATATATGTATTGAGTTCAATCCCCAGAATATTATTGACGAGTTTCATATCACGATAAAACAATTGTTTGATACTTCCTGGCTTTATAATGGTTGTTTAACTAAGATTAATCTCTTATGTAAAGTATAAACTAAACCATTATAATTGGATAAAACTTTTGCTTATTTTTCTTTTACAACATTAAACTGACTAATTTTCTTCTTTAAAACATAATATTCTGAGAATCTAAAATGTAATTCTTTTGCATTGATCTAATATTATTCATATTTTTTAATTATTTATATTTCCTATTTCAGGTTATGGACATATTGTACCTAAAACAGATCTTGGACGAGCAATAACTGTAATTTATGCATTATTTGGTATACCATTAGTACTTTTATGTTTAACTAATCTTGGTGGTTTTTTGGCTAATACTGTACGGATTATTTATTCAAATTCATGTTTTAAATATCATGAACATCGTGTTAAAAAGAAATTATCTAAACAACATTCTCAATCAATATTACCATTAACAAGAGATGAAAAATTACAAAATCCATCAAAAAGAAAATTACCAAATAATCGTAAAAATAAAATATCTAAATTACATAATAATTTACAAGAAAATATTGAAACTTCAATAATCAATAATCATATTGATCCGAATAAATATACATCAAAAGAATCTATTAATCGATTATATATGAATGATTATCATACAGCAAGATTTGAAAAACGAGCTCAATCTATACTACATACATTAACTAGTTCACAATCGATTATTTCATCAGGTATGCAAAAAGAAAGAAAAAATAAAGGGGTTCATGTACCAATATGGTTAACATTATTAGTATTTTTTATTTATATGATAGTTGGTGCAATTATATTTGCTAAATGGGAAAATTGGAATTTATTACAATCAGGTTATTTTGTATTTATTACATTGTCAACAATTGGATTTGGTGATTTTGTTCCCGGTATACAAACAGATAAATGGCAAGAAAATTCTACAAAACCAGTATTTTGTTGTTTCTATCTATTATTTGGTTTATCTATGGTTGCTATGTCATTTAATTTAATGCAAGAAGAAGTAAAAACTAAATTTAGACAATTTGCTTATAAAGTTGGTTTAGTTGAAGATTAAATATTTTGTTTCTATAGTGAAAATCTTTTTGTTTTTAAAAAAAATGTAATATCTATGATTACTTGTTTATTATTTATTCTGAAAGTTGTCTTCACCAATGTACTCCACCATTTATCTCCATATTCTTCATTAGTTCTTATTTATTTGTTTAACTGCTTGCTTTTATTCAATGTGCCTCTAATTATTAACAATTTTATAACATTCATAATGATTTTATTCAAGTCAACGTTGTACACATTAGTCTTTAATAACAATGAATTCGATCATTTCAATGATAATAATAGAAATAATTAATCATTGATTTTAAAATGTAAAACTGTAGTTGTGATTTTAAGGTATCTATAAAATTTAGTGCAATAAATATGTATATTAAGAACCATTATAAGAGTATATTATTAATGTTTATTATATATGTTGAACTGTCCTATCCTTTAGTTTTATTTTCTAAACACTTATCTGTATTATCAAGAAAACATATTTAGTATTTGGAACCCTAATTCATAGTATATTCAAATACATCTAATATAAATGTTAATATATAATTCTATTCCTTCTTCCATTTACATTCAAAGTGTGAAACATCACATGAATATTAGTAATTAGAATGAAATTAGTATAATGTTTTATTAGAACTAATACAACTAGGTAATTGATGATTATAACATTTATATTATTAATATGTAAACATTAATATTCAGTTAATAATGGAAATTTAGAAATTATAACTAGTTATAACATGGTTAAGTAGAGTATTCCTATATTTGAGCATGGTGATTGTAAGACAAGAAGAGTTTTGATTTTTTGCTTGAAGTAGTAATTATTCTGATTTACAGCTACAAGTAGGATACCTGTAAAGATTTTTTTTCAAAATCTCAATCTCATTTAATTTTGAAACGACTTGTTTTCCTAATACAAAATTATTGAAGTAGATTTTCTCATTACCTTTTCATTTTAACTAATTAATTATATACTTTAGTGGGATGAAGCATTGAGACAATGTAAGTCATATATGTAAAGAACAATACAAATGATCTATGATACTACATCTTTCAAATACATCATAGAATGAAAACTAGATGGTTGGTTTAGAACTGATGGAAGAAATTTACGGTTTCAAATAAATGATAATTAATCACTGTTGTAAATTCTGTCCTGTCATACATATTCTGGATCTTTATAAATGAGTCTTATGATAAAAGTAGTGTTATGCGATTCTTTATATATTTTGCTCAAAACTCCTTGTTTTAATTAAACATATACTGACTAAATTTATTCTTTTTATCATTACTTTGAGATTTTGCATGGTGGTTCTTTTTTTCAATAATAAAAGATTTGTTTAAATAAAGTAACGAAGATAGATGCATTTGATTATACAGAGTATTTGCCCAAAACTGCTTCAACCAATTATGGGTTCTTCTATCGAATAATCAACTTTATAAACCTACTTTTGAAAAACACGATGTTGTAAACTTCGATTGTTTCATTCCACTGAGAAACTGACACACAAACAAGTGTAATAAAAGGTTATTATTAGAGGAATTTAACTTTCTATCGTTGAACCAAACGTTTATCATATTAAAGCCTAGTTATTTGACAATATGGTCTGAATCACCATAATATGGCTACATTTTCAGAAAGCAACAGTGAAAACATCAATCGAAAAATTAAAAATTTTTTTAGGATACTAATAATTAAGTTAACGGGACTTGAAAACTTACTTAATCCTAAAGTAATTATTCAAAGCGCAAAATTGACAACATTTTGATGATTTATTGGCTAACAAGAAAGGAAGAAATCTTACATACCAACAATTCATAAATCAATCACATCGAGAAAAGTGAAAATTATTTGGGCAACTTAGAAATTGAAGTGGCCTTATTTAAAATTAACAGAATCAACTGTTCAAACTCTAAGTAAAATAATTATCATTATTAATAATAGCTTTATTTAACATTATGTGTTTGGTACGATATAGAATTCTCAGCGTAAAGTATTAGAACAAGTTTCTTTTACAAAACAACACAAATTACTCTATACATATATGCATAAATTAAGTTAATGAAATACCTGGAATTAAATGAAGTTGTTTAAAATCAGTTTAGAATCTGTACAACTCTTTATTAGGAACATATTTAACAATACAAGTTATTACCTAGGTCACTTCTAACAACCTGTTCATCACATAGTATATCTGCTAGATAAGGTATTGTAGTGCTTCTATATCATTGCTTGAGTCCATGGATCCTAATATATTGATGTCTCGATTTACCAGAAGATATACAGGAAGTGTAACTCATTCTATAAATTTGATTATGGCATTAAATTATAAACATTAGTTATCTTTATTTAGTTAAAAGTGGATCTCAATAAAAGTATTATAATACAATATAAAAGAAAACTATGCGAAATTTCCGGTCTATGAAAACTAGATCATCGTCTAAATGGTAATTTTTATATCAGGTAACATGAATTCTATATACCAGATCATGTTTCGTCATCTGTCGTTTTTGATGGCTTACATGAAAAATGTAAAATCTAAGACGAAACTACCACTCCGTCATGCTAATGACATGTTAAACGTAGCGCAGTCATTTAAGATATAAGAAAAATTACAACATAGCAAGATACATACCTCAATTGATTAAATAAACGAAAACATGATCGAAATTACTGATTACGATACACTTAGATGACTTAAAAATGAAAAGTTTATTCCTAGCCAACTTTTAAGCTTTCTTTTCAAACCACTTATAAAGTAATTTTTACAGGTTATAAAAGTAACTGCTTGTGGGAACGGAATAGAATTTATTGATCAGTTACTGTTTACAATCATAACAATTCACATTTAATCTATATTCCACCGAATGGAGAAATCATTTGTGATTACTATTAGGTTTCTGTTTTGCCTTTTCTATTGATACTTTATTTTTACATAAAACTATGCATACTTTCATAGGAAATTAGATTTATTTCTAATCGGTTTATTCCTTGCATTTGTCTAGAAATGATTTATAATTCGTATTGCATACTAAATAAACTGTATTAAATTTAATAGTTGAATTCATGAATCAATTGAAACTAGACCATCATGGGAAATCTGGACACACTGGACGACCGTTTCGTCCCAATATAGGACTCCTCCAGGTTTTCCATAGTGGTCTAGCTTTAATCGATTCACAAATTCAACTATTAAATTACGAAAATCTTCACAAATTTCAAAGTGCACAAAAATCATCTCATAACATGGTTAAAAATGAATACGTATTCCAATCAGGAATTATTATTTCATCAAGTAATGCAATGAATTCTAATAAAAATGATGTGATCTATTAAAGTTCAATGATAAATTTTTGTTTGGTAAGATATTTACTTACTTAGTTACGCCTGTTACTCCTCGTGAAAGAGCATAGGCCGCTCACCAGCATTCTCCATCCAACCCTGTCCTGGGAAATCCCTTCCAACTCTCTCAAAGTAAAACATTTACAGTAAAGTAAAATACTTTTTTAAAATCTAAATGAGAATTTAAAAGTCGAATAATTCTTCTTTTAAACTGATAACCATTCAATGACTGTTCTGCTTTCATTTAGATGCTTAATCTAAAATAACTTTTATCTTAAAGTAGATATAAACAAAAAATTTCTTGACAGTTAAGATGTAAATCGCTTGTTTTTATTTTGTTTTTAGATCTTACTCTTGGCCTAGTAACAATCGGAGCTTGTTTTAAAAAAAAATTTAAATTCTATGAAACTGAAGAATAAGTTTCTAAAAGCCTAACTGACGTTACATGAAAAGTAACAAACTGCTTATCTTGTTTTTGTGTACATATGTTTTAAGTGTTGTTTAAATATTAATCTTTTTTATAAGCAACTTGTCATGTTAAGCATTGATTGATTTCAACTTGCTTCAACCATTTCATGTAAACATCTTTTGGGTTGCATAAATTACTTTCCAATTTACTTTTCACAGACTTGAAGTTTTCCTCATCAACGTGCATTGAAAAAATCAGTTGTCCCTACAGAGACAGTTATATTGGGAGCAATAGTAGGTAACTTAACCAATGAATAGGTAAAATCTCCTAGCTTGGTTCGGAAAGAGAAATATAAAGACAATAAAGAGTTTTGCACTGAAACATCTGGTTTACCTTCATTATCTCTCAATAGGGTTCCATCTCGTATCCTACATATGGCTAAAGCTATAGGGATCCAAATATGTAACCCTAGTATATGTGTTCGGAAAAAATTCGTGACAACCCTGTCCCTTTTTTTCTGGATAAGACTCCATAAATGATTTTATTGATATTTTAACATCCCGTATTTGTTTATTATTATTTACACGCTTTCTATTACGTAATTTTATGGATGTTTTGTGATTGCTATTATAGTCTATCTATCCAAGTGCGATCTACTTCTTGTGTAGAAGGGTTCTTCTAGAGGTACCTGAAAAAGAAATTGGGTTTGAGATGGTCTTAGTGACCTAAGAGTGTGACTGCAGTCCCAAGGAACAACTGCTCGAGACTGGTCGAAGACGACTTTCTTGTGTGTAATTTCCGTGTTAGCTCCGTACTTGCTGAGACCTTACCACCGGAGACAGATATCCGTAGGATAAGGCGAGGTGTGTATTTTTAGGGTCAACCTTTTCTAACCCCACATTTCCTTGTACGAAGACAGCATCGCAGTTATGCTGGTTGCCTGAAGGAAACACCTTACTACCATCACACCTCTGTACTGTCAGTAGTATGACTTCTCTCTCGGACATTGGATTTGCTGCTTTCAGTCTTACCGCTCTTCAACCAACCTGTCTGGCATGATGTGCATTGAGGAACGATTTTTCAAGCCAGTATAGCTGGATTGGTTCATCACGATAGGCAAGCCCGACCACTGCATCAAGGTAGCAGCAACGGTGGGTCACAGTGATATGGCTTCATATTCATTGACCATATGTTCACATAGCTCGTTTTATTATCCTTAAGACAGTAAAAACAAAGATTCGAGTAAAAACAACAACAATTCATTATATTTCGTTAGGTTTTCTTCAACAACCTACAACATAGCTGTTGTGGTGATCCAGAAAATTTCTCGCAAAAGACAAGCAAGGATCAGGAAACACTAAGAAGCATTTCATCCAATCAGTGTTCACTTGAAGTTTTAGCCAGAAACATAAAGGAAGTGAAACGTCACATGCAGAGGTTCTGATTGGTTTATTGTTATACTGCTACTATATTTGGTAGCATTCCAGAATCTTCGAGCGACCCAAGGACAATTTAAAATATTATAAAAACCCTATATTTTCTGCATTAAAAGGAACCTTTGGAGTAAAGTACTTACGCATACTTTGCCCCTTCTCTTTCGTGTTCAGGTCGTTGTATAGTTCTAGTTTGAGGGTTACAAGAAAAGCTTAGGAACGGAATATAGCGTTGAAATTGCAAGACTTATCAATAGCATGTTATAAAATCGAAATTATCATAACACTTAACTTACTTATAACAGCCATATGCTGAAATCTTTCAAAATAATTACAAGTATTTGGAATTTATTTTACATTTCTTGGGGTTTATTACTTTAACTAGAATCGCCTGTCCACTAGGATTGTACAAAATACTTTGGAATCTTATCCTTCTATGCATAGAAGCACTAGTTACTATCAGTATATCATTAGCATTAAGAAATCTATCCCATAGAAACGTTGGACAGATAAGCTACATTCAGGTGTGCACTGAAAGTATTCATCAGTATGCTCTTGACTAAAGGTTTATGAATTCCAAGAACAACTGAAAAACAAAATGTGGCAGTCCTCATAACAATAGTATTCACATCTATTAATTCAAATAAACAAGTATTTAGTAAACAAAATCATCAAGTCAGTGTATAGCTTAGATATTGAAAATCCACAAACTTTTGAGAATAGTCGATCATTAAAATCTACTACATTTACCTGACGTTTTAGAGTTTATTTAGTAGACCTAAGCTTTCTTCATTAACTGATGCCAGATGGAGAATTTTTAAAACCAAGGTCTCCATGAGAAATTGATTTGTTCTAGCTTTAAAATTACCGAAAGAGTATTCCACCAATTCCATATGTCGTATGTAAGTTAAGATATTCAAGTTTCACGATAGATTTGTTAATTGAATCGATTACTACAAAGAACTAAGAAACAATTAATAATCTTATGTCATTTTTTCCGGACAATTATCAGGATGTTACATGTCAAAAATGAGCCTTTCTGTATAATTTTCTCT